TTATCAATTAATTGCACAATCCTATATAAAAAAAGAAAAATATAAAAAAGCCATTGAAACATATGAAAAAGTAATTGAAATTCAATTTATTAATTTATCTGATACTCATCCAGATATAAAAGAAAGTTATTATCAAATAGGAAATATCTACTGTAAAATGGATGAATTAGATAAAGCTTTAGAATTTTATCGAAAAACCACAATAACAACTACCACAACAACAACAATGACAGATGATGATAATGAAAATAGTGATGGTGATGAAATGAGTGATACATTATTAATTGAAAAATATCGAAATTTAGCTGAATTTTATGAAAGAAATGATAATTATGAACATGCTATTGAACAAGAACAAAATATTTTAATTAAACTTGAAAAACATTTACCAAATATAGCTAAACAAGATGATTTAAAAATAATTAAAGTTGAAAAACTTATTGATAATCATTTAAATATAAATAATATTCGTTTATTTGTTAATTATCTTCAAGATTTTGTTTATATTTATTTAACTATTGGTGATTTATCATTAATAGATAATGAAAATGCTTCTATTTGGTATGAAAAAGCATTTGATCTTCATCGAAAACTAATTCGTTACCATTCATTAAATGATAATTTAATTTCTATAATGTATTATAAAATTGGACAAGTATATCAACGTTATGATGAAATACAAACAGCTATTGAACAATATCTTGATGCATATAATGCCAATTATCAATCAGAAAATAAATTTATTTTTTTCTATGAAATTGGTTATTTATATAAAGAAAATAAAAATTATAATGAAGCAGATACATGGTGGAAAAAATCACTATCAGAAACAACAAATGAAATAATAAAAAATATATTACAAAAAAAAATTGATAGTATTGAAGATCAAATAAGCAGTGATGATGAAAATGATGACAATGATAATATTGATGATAATGATAATAATAAAAAAAAGAATCAAATATCAATCAATAATAAATATTCTAAAGCAGAAATGATCATTCATACAAGCAATGATCAATTAGCCATGGCCTATTTAGAATTAAATGTGAAATATTATAAAAAATATATTGAAGAACAAAAATTATTATTGATAAATGATGAAATAATGTTAAATGATGATTGGATCAATATTAAAATAAATGATGATTTTATTCAATTTATACCGGATTTAATTTTTCAATATAAAAATGATTATGACAAAGATGATGATGATAGACAAAATCCTAAAAAAAATATTGTACGATCATATATGGAATGTGGTAGAATAGCATTAAAATTAAAAAAGTTTGCTGATGCATGTAACTATTATTTACAGGCAATTGAAACTGAACATTTAAAATCCAATGAGACGCTTCGATCATTGTTGTCAAATAATAAAACAGGACAAGATGATATTATCAATAATTATTCAAAACAAGGTACACTAGTCGATAATCAGCTCGGTCTGAATAGCTGAATCAGCTTTCTAGTTTTTTCAGCATTGAATCAGACCTCATTAAAATGAGTTTTGGACAGTTGCTCGCGAGGACATTTGCTTGCGGATCGTTGCTCACATGACAACTTGTTCGCACGGACTGATGCTCGCTAGGACTAGTGCTCGCTTGGACAGATGCTCACGGGACACTTGCTCATCACGAACGTATAAGCCTGTTATTCAGAACCAGCATGAGAATTTTATAAGAATTTGAAACAAGAGATCGTTGTTTAAAACCATTTGCCTAACAGAATGTGTATGATGAAGTTTTTATTTCAACAATACAAGACATTCCGACACTTACTTGTAAAAGGCGAAGTAGACTCTGACATAAATGGAAATAACAATCATTAAGCTCATCTGGTGGAAAACTACCACTAAGCGCATTCATAGATGCTTTTTCAAAATCCATCATTAATCTCTCTGGGTTTCATGTCGGTATAAATTCGATAATATCATTGATTGTTTTCTGGTGTATTCCTATCGACTTATTTGGTAATAAAACAAAAACAACTGGCATAACATGACTACGATAGTTTTTTGAACGGTTTTGAGGTTCCCATTTACCAGATACTTTTTGTAGTTTAAATATATTTTATAAAACACTTTACTGTTTCTATTTAAAGTGTCCCGTGAGCATCTGTCCAGGCGAGCACTAGTCCTAGCGAGCAAGTTGTCATACGAGCAACGATCCGCGAGCATCTGTCCGCAAGCAAATGTCTTCGCGAGCAACTGTCTGTTTCCCATTAAAATGCATGTGCGGATTCAGACCTGAAAATACGGATCAGCTCATTGAGCTCTGATTTAGCTGATGGAATCAGAGCTGAATATTCTGAGAGTGACAACCTCTGCTTTTTCAAAGCTGATTCAGATCAGATTTTCCAGATTGGAATCAGCTATACGAAGAAAAAAGCTCCTAAAAGCATTGAAGTTCTCTCAACTCTGAAGTTAGTTACTAAAATATCACGCCAATAAGAAAAAATTTTATTTACAAAGTAAAACAATTGATTGGCTAACAATACTATGAAATAAAACTAAATAAGACTCGTGCACATAAATCGCACAAAAATTAGATAATAGAATGCTAAAACTTAACTAGAAAATAATAAAAAATAGTAATTTTTCTACAAATTAAAATAGTAATCGTATTTTCACAACATCTATTGTTCAAATTACTGTACGAGTGAGTTGCAAAAGGACTGTGTAATGGAGGCTTTTGTATGTTGTGTTTGTTTTGATGATAATCAACTATGTTGTAATTGAGACGGAGAATATTACACTTGTGAGTGAGGTGAAGATGAATCATTCTCTGTTGTTATGTGACACTTGACGCATTAAGTTACAAAAAAAAGAAATGTTTTATAACACATTTCTTCTTTTTTTTTTTGTTTTGTCTCTCTCTCTCTACTTAATATTTTTTGTTTTAGAATCACAACTATGGATTAATATGAAAATGGGTGCTTATAATCGTAACAATGGTCATTATGATGCTTCTTTATTAAATTATCAAAAAGCATTAACATATACAAATGATCTTATGATAAAAATAACATTATATTATGAAATTTTAAAATTATTTAAAATTAGTTTAAGATCAACAGAAGATTATAAACAAAGTATTGTTAATAAAATTAATTTAAATACAACATCGATAAGAATTTATGATCGTCTTTTAATTTATGAATTAATTATTGATTTTATGAAAGAATTATATGAAGATAATAATGAAAATAATAATTCAGAAATACAAAAATATATTGATATGTTTTATCAAACTCAATTACAAACAAATTTTATTATATTTGATCATTATGAGATAAAGATGTTATCATTTCAATGTATTGGTCATGTTTTACGATATATGGAAGATTATACAGAAACTATTGATTATTGGAATGAAATAATCAAATTAAAACAACAAATTTTATCTCAACCTATCATTGAACTAATTAATAATGATGAAAGTACTTTTATTAAGATTTATGATAATACAAAATTATATAAAATGAATTTTCAACAATCGTTGAAAACAATTGCAAATAGTTATGAAAAAATAGCTGAATATTATGAAAAGTTAATTAATAATACCAATGATAACGATAGGTGGGATCCTCAAATGGCCATTAGTAACTATGAAAATGCTTTAAAATTTCTTAAAAAAATGAATAATAAGGAAAAAGAGTTAAATGATAAAATACAATACTATGAAGATCGTATAAAAACACTTAAGTCGAATATTAATAATGTTGAACATAACAATCTTATTCAATAAAACAAATAATATTTTCGTATTCAAATTAACTATCAATATCAAGGCGGAGATAATAACTTTGTTGATATTTGTTGATAAGATCTTTTACTTTTCAAAATCCTGTATGTCGAGCGTACCAAACTATATAAACTCTTGAATTTGTGCATAGTTCGTAAAAGTGTTGTCATCATTAAATATACTGTACGAAAACTGTATGGGATTGATGGAGTTCTCTTGCTATGTGCAAACATAGATAAATTACTATAGTTAATCGAAAGACTGTAATACAGTACTTCGCAAAATTGGGAAGACATCCGAGAGTAGGCCATTGAGAGTTAATGAGAACTTTAAGAGATTCTTGGTATAATAGTAGTGAATAATATCAGAAATAAATATACTAGCCATTAAAGTTAAATGAGAGTATCAAACATTTGCGTGTTATTATAATGGCGGAATGGCTATTACCGCACTCAAGGATGTCAATAAGAAGCTATTGCCATCGTCTGAAAGTATCAACTAGAGTTATTATTACCAGCGAACTACAAAGACGTAAAACAAAGTTTAAAAGCCATTATCTGAGAGGGGCAGACAGTTACGCATAGGCGGTGATTGTTGATGTTACAGATATTCTGAAGTAGTTTGGATGGTTTCTGACCGAGTTATCAGTTTTTTAAAATTTGACGAAAATAACCAAGAATAAGTTATTTCACATAGTATAGGTTTTTACTCGTTTCTTGCATTTTTGTTCTGAAAACTAACATTGCCACAAGATTCAGCGTGATTGATAACCTATATTTCCAAGCATTTTTATCGATCCCAAACCTAACAGAAGACGATTTTCGGTGCTTCGGAGAAAACGTGTAGCAGGCCCGATTAATGGATTTTCAAGATATCGCTTAGATCCACTTTTGTAGAAGACAATTTTTACTATATATATCTATGAAAAAAATCGATAGATTATTATTTCACTTCTGAAAAACCGAAGCTAGTTTTCTAAAGATCCTCTGCAAAAATCGGTCTCTGAATTCTTTTCAAAAATCTTTTTGACTTGTGAAAGCATGTCTACAAGTGTTGGCTATTGGATAGTGAAGACCACAAGTCTCCACCTTGTTCCTAACAAAAGTTATTCAAGAAATAGCCATGACTCTTATATTTTGAAAAGGATAGTAGTTGTATCATAATTTGTTTCATTTTAAGAGCCATTATCCGGTAGACTCGGACGGACAGTGATTGTTGATGTTACAGATTTAAATGACATTCATACCAGTTATAGGTCTATATGTTACTAGATAATGATATAAACAGCTTGATTTAAAACTGCTTCGTTCTCGGGATATCGAGGGCGCAAGAGATGGCACCACAAATCAATCATTCTCATCACGTTTAGAATTAAGCTTTTTGTACCTATAGAAACCAACTTGGAAAACTATATTTTGATATGAACTCATAGTTCAAAATACGGGCTACCTTTCCCACCCATTCACGGATTTTAAAACCACTCCGTCGAGATAGCGTTCTTGGTTTACACGTGAGATCCAATACCCTGATTTTCTCTCTGTGCTAAAGTGTTTATGGCTCAAGCTTTCTATCAAAATGTAGGTCACACTCGGATGTATTTAGACAGCAGACTTTGGATTTTGGACTGTCCTATTTCGTAAAATATTTTTCAAAAACCGGTTTTTCACAAAATCCCAAATCGCAAAGACCGCCATAAAACAGGTTTTTATTCTTCCCAGATTGCAGTTTTGCACGTATTTTTTTAAATGAGGTATGAATTTCACAATATTCTCATAGAAATCTACATTTTTTGCTTAAGGAGGAAGCCCTTTTAGAGTTTGCCTAAACTCTCACGGTTTTTAGAGGACATTTCAAAGTATTTATCCTGAAGTTTTGGGGGCTTACTGGCATTATCGGAATCAGAAAAAAGTTAATTATTTGAAAATTTCTGTCAAAAATTTCAAAACGGAGCTGTTGTTTACAGGAATCTCTGAGCATTTCTTAATTCCTATATTCGAAAATTGAGAAATTCGTATATTCCAAAATCCGAAAACTCGCATATTCCAGAATTCAGAAATTCCTGTATTGCAGGATTCGGAAAATCCTATATCCCGCAAACTCAGAAATTTTCCCATAATCCATAAAGTCAGGAACTCTGTAGGCCAACATTCTGAAATTCCTATATTGCACAAATTCACAAATTCGTATAATTCTTAAATATAGAAATCGTATAGTTCAAAAGTCAGAAATTCCTGTATACCATAATTTCACATATTCCTTTACTCCATAATTCAGGAATTCCTATCTTCCATAAAGTAATAACTACAGAACTACATGATAAAATATGGTTTGATAATAAGCTACGTATGCTGCACAAAAAAAGTGTCCATTAGATCGTAAAAGTAAACAATCAGATTATCATTTGAATTTGTATTTGTATAAAGAAATAGCAAAACAATTCCAAGAGGGATTTATAGCTACAAAAAAGCAGTACTACAAAAGAATAAACGCAAAAGTCTGTGCATCTTCCAAAAAATGGATGAGTTTGGTTAAACATTCGATGGGTAGAGGAAGGTACACTACCATTCCAGCGTTAAATAATAATAACAAGAAAATTGTTACTGAGACGCAAGGGAAAGTTGAAATATTAAATCAACTTTTTGTTGAAGTCTGTACTTGGAATGGATCAAATGTTGATCCTAGAATTGCAGATAGTTTACCATCATCCTCTACTTTTCTTCCAGAACTTAAAGTTGAGTTGCCTGGTGTTGAGAAGTTGTTACGAAGATTAGATCTTAGTCGTGCGTGTGTTCCTCCAATCACTAATTGTATGTTAAAAAATATGATCCCTTCGATTGTGCAACCATTGACTAAACTGGTGTATGAATCGTTTCAAACATCAACTTTTCCTTTTCGCTGGAAAAATGGTATTATTAACCCTTTATATAAAAATGGAGATTAACTTGAAAGATATAACTATCGTCCTATAACTCTTTTACAAGCTTTCTATAAGGTGCCAGAGCGATTAGTTCATAAGCAATTGTAAAAGGTGAAACTGTAAAACTTTTTTTACTCACCTTGTAGCCGAATCTCTCCGCTATCTTTTACTCATTCCCAAATTTCTTTAGTGTCAGGCCTCACCGTGGAAAAAGCCGCTTAGTGGCCATGGACAAAAAAGTGCATATTTGTGTGGAAAAGTGTTTTCGCAAAAAATGACTGTCAGAGAAATGTTGAAGTGAGTCGTGTGCC